ACAGTCTGGGGCAGCGTAAGGAACTGGCATGGGAGGTCCTGCTTGGGTCGGGAGCTGGATGGGTCAGGTCTGGCTTCTGTGGCTTGGCTCTACTCCAGCTCTGGAACCCTTGGGAGACGTGGGCTTCCAAGGCTCCCCTTGGAGCTCTGGGGGAAGGCCTGGCTCCTGCACCCCACCTGGCCTGCCCCCCACCTGCCTTTCTAGATCTGAGCCCAGAGACTCTCAGAGCCCTGTCACCCTTGGAGGGAACGTAAAAGATGGGGTGAGGAGGGGCATTCAGAGGGTGCAGGGTGTGGGGGACACAGAAGGGTGTGATCACGACTAGGGGCTAGTCGGTGGGGAGACACTGGGGTGGACGGTGCAGGGAGAAAGGACTCATGGAGAAGGTGACTTGAATTGCACTGGTGACCACAGCAGGCTACGGCCCACTGAGCTGCGCTCCCCAGCTGCTCCAACCACCCGCCCAGCAGGGTCTGTGCTCCCCTCCAGGCCTCCAGGTGTGGCAGGTGGGCCAAGGGAACTGGGCCAGAGAGAGGGATGTGGAGACCTGGAGACACAGGTGGTGCTGGAGGGAGCGGGGGACACAGGCAGGGAGGCAGGGTGTGTGTGTGGAGAGCACCCTCACTGGCCACCTTCTGGGGGCAGGGAGCCATCAGGACCCACCCTGGGGAGGGAGCGCGGGTGCGCAGGAGAGCAGAGGCTTGGCCCTGCAGAACAGGATGGCCACAAGCCCTGTCTGCTGGGGACTGTGCTGGAAGCCTGAAGGCTGGGGGCTGAGTCCATGGGGTGACCCCAGAGGGTCCAGGCAGGTGGCTGAACCTGGCCCCTTACCCCAGCCTTCCCAGGTCAGCCTGGGCTCCCAGTTGGCCTTTATCTGGAGCCCCAGCTGTGGCCACGGGAAGTGGCCGTTTCTCTGCTCTGCTGTCTCCCTGCCAGACCCGGTGGCGATGATAACATGGGAGGGTGTGTGTGTGGGGTTGAGCAATACCCCGTGGGGTGGGGGAGGCTCAGGGTGTGTGACCTCTGCTGAGGCACAGGGGTCAGAGCTCCCCAGCTGGGCTTAGGGGAGGGGGGACAGGGATGTGGGGCCCAGGCTTCCCCCAGCGCACCACACCCAGGGAGTGCTGGACTGGGACCCTGGGCTGGCCCACAGGAGGTGCTCCACAAATGTGGGCCTCTTCCCAAATCCATGCCTGTTACCAGCTTCCATCCCCCTACACGGAATCCCCAAACCTTCCCAGAACCCTCTTCTTCCTCCCAGCCTCAGCCTGCACGGCCCCCTCCCCTGCTCCTCCACCAGCCACAACCAAAGCCAGCCCTAGGAGTCGCCCTGCGACCCTGTGGTCTCTGCCCCTGACCTCCAGGCCCTGGACATTCAGCACAGGAGTGTCCAGAACCGGCATGAAGCTGGGCCCCGAGGGCTCTCTTGAAACCCCAATCTGACACGCTCTCTCTGCCTACACCCTTCCAGATGGCTGGCAGCAGCCTTCAAGGCCCCCACCCCCACCCCATGGGCCTCCACAGATACCCCTTTACTTGCCCTGCCCTCAGCACTGGTGCTCAGCAAGGGAATGGGGCTCGGATAGACAGGGGTGCCCAGGGGTGGGGTCAGCTGCTCCCCAAGGGGGCATGAGCACCCTCCCCTTCCCCTCCCCCAGCTGCCACCGATGCTGCCTGCAATCAAGACCCGGTGCTTGGCTGAGCTCCACTAATTAATGGCATGACTCTGTTATCAGCCAAGTGCTAATTACTCTTTTTAATCGGGGCTGCCTCTGTGGAGGCTCCTGGAGGCCCTTGGAGGCTGGGGTGGGGGGGGTGGGGGGCTGGGGGAGCCCAGGAGCCATGACCTCATCCCTCCCCACACAGGCCCTATCAAGTGCTCTCCTAGGGCCCCTCCTCCAGCTGTGCCATTTGCTGGATGGCACCCCTCCTCCTCCTGGCGAACTCTTACTCTCCCTTCAAGACCTTCCCCGGGGGGCCCCTCAGTGAGGCCCCTTCTCACCCGTCATGGCCACGCAGGCAGGCTTGGCACTACTAGGAGCTGAGAGGTTGTGAGCAGGACCAGCCTTGGTCTCCAGAAGGGGGCTTGGAAATGCTAAACCTCAGGTAAAGGCGGAGGAGGCGGGGAAGGCCTGAGGCCTGGATCAACCAGAGGGTGAGCTGGCAGTGAAGGGGCCTGGCTCAACTTGAGGGGGACTCTGGACCACAGAATGGCGGCACTGAGTCCCCTTCCCGTCCCACCAGGTCCTGGGGCCTGGGCCCCAGTGACTTGCAAGGCCTTGTGGCCCAAGAGACAAACTGACCCTGGACACATGCGTCACGCCCTGTACACCCACTGGACCCGATACCCTCTCCCCTTCACTCCCAAGCGCACACTGGAGGTCCTCGGCCGGACGGACTGCCCTCCTTGAGCCCATACAGACACATGCACACCCAGTACGGGCAGACAGACACCTGGAACACAGACGCACACACAGACACGGGCAGGGGCAGGCCTGGGACAACAGAAGCTGCCCCTTCTCCTGCCCGGGGCCCCCAGGGCTTCCCGTTTACGAGACTTTATCTATCAAAAATATATTAACCCAGAAGCCTGTTTCCATCAGAGTCTCGATTCCAGGGACATTTCCAGATAAGCCTTATCTCATTGCTGGTGCATTAGCCCCGCTGGCCGGGGGCCTGCCAATCACGGCTGCCCCTCCTGCCCCGGCCTGTGGCAGGACGCCTGCCCATGACTTCATTCCGGGTGGGCAGTGGGAGGAGTCGAGCGGGGCATGGCTGCCCCCCGTCCCCACCCCACCCCACCCCACCAGAGCAGCGCCCCAGAAGGCACTCTTTCCAAGGACACATCCAAGGCCTTGGGGCAAGGGACGAGGGGGGTCTCTGGAGCCCTCCGGAGCCTGGGTTCAGGTCCTGGCTCTGAGGTGACGGCTCGGGTCAGCTGTGCCCCAGTCCCTGCCCCTCCCACAGCTTCGACGGAGGCGATGCTTCCCGGGCCACTCCCACACGTGGAAGCGCCCCCCAGGCGGCACGTGCCTGCGGGTGGCTGCGGCGGGCCTGTGCCCTCTCCCACGGCACCCGGGGTGGGCTGGGCACATGGCTGCGGGAGTGCTCTGGCCTCCAGCCTGGCTGCCTCTCCTTCACGGGCCGTGCCTGGGCCCAAGGCGGCTCACGGGCACTCAGGTCCCCACAGGCCGGGGCCCTGAGGCTTTGGGAGTCACACAGCAGGCGGCTCCCCTACCCCGGAGTCCGTTCCTCTCGGGGGCTCTGAGGGGCGCTGTCCGCAGGCGGCCTGGGAGGCAGGGAGGAAGGTGCGGGGGGACACGGGGGCTGTCACGGACGTCCTGGCAGAATGGTTGTCGTGGCGCAGGGCTGGGCCCTGGGGCTGAGACCGTGCCTGCCGCTCTCACCTCGGGGCGTGGGCAAAGTGATGGGCTGCAGTGTGCCCCGTGCCCATGGAGCGGCTGCTGCGTTCTCATATCACACACGGGGACACTGAGGCAGAGGTTGGGGGGCTTGTCCAAGCTCACACATCAGAGGGGCGGGCTGAACCCAGGCAGTGGCTGGAGTCCACCCTGTCTCCCCCTCCCCCATGATGTGGCCCCGGGGCTAGCTCCTGCTGAGTGAGCCCCCTCTATACCTGCTGGGGGGTGCAGAGGCTCTGCTGGGGCACATGGCCCTTCATTTGGTGAGAGGAACAGTGATGTGCCCAAAGGCTCTCTCCATCTCAACTTGCTGGAACCTCCAGAGGAGGGGGTCAGCCTCACACCTCTCGGTCAGGGAGGACCCGGCCTGGCTGGGGGGTACCCCGCAGCTCTGGCCTCAATTCTCTACACACTGAGGAGGGAGTTTCCTCATCTAAGATGCAAGACCTGAGGCGATCCCAGCTCCTCCCAGCTGTGCCCACTCCAAAGGGCTGCGTAGCCATGGGAAGTGGCCAGCCTGGGACCCCTGCCCTGAAGCCCTCGCTGGGAGACCTAGCTCTCTGCCTCCCTGGTGTGATGGTCTGTAGGACAGCAGTGGGGGTGTGTCAGAGGGGCCCTGGAGCCTGGTCTGCAGACACATGGGGGCCAGGCAAGAAGTGCCCCTGCTGATACTGGAGGTGTCCCCTTGGGCGGTGGCAGTGAGACTCCAAGAGATGAAGGGACAGTTTGCTGGAAGCACCTAGCTTTCCCTGTACCCATCCCCTTCCAGTTCATTCCCACCCCAGGGGGAAGCAGGGACTGGGCCTGGACATTTTCTGCCTACCCAGCCCTCGGCTGTCACTCTGGACTGCAAGCCCCGGCCCAGCCTCACGTCTGGGTCCCTGTGAGGGCCAGCCGCTCTCACACCCCCTTGAAGCACGAGGGGCTGTGTCCAGGCCTGGCACCTAGGACAGCACGTTCTGCATGCCACCTCCTTCCTTTCTGCCCTCAGCTCCAGGACTTAACCGCTCCCAGTCCTTGGATGGCCACTGCCCCGTTAATATTTTTGATGCCACTTTTGCAAAGGCAGCCTCTGCATCTGTTGGAGGTCAAATAAAGGAGTGTTGGGACATCTGTAGGATGTACAGATTCTCCATCATTCAGCTGGTTTTGCCACCTCACCCTTTTCTGAGTATACACAGCTCCAGCTGAGGGGTACAGCTGCCTGTGTGGCAGGGGTGAGGGGCGAGGGTAGGGCTTCCTGGGCTTTAGAGGGGGTGTGCTCCTGGTCCCTGCCCTCACCTCCACAGCTTGGGGAGGGTAGGCCCGACACCCAAGGCCGGACGCCTCCACCCCAGACGGAGGACCTACCTCCCACTTGCCTCTGCCCTGATGCCCTGGCTGGGCACTTGCGGCTCCCCAGCACTCCAGGGGTGCCCTTCCTGGCAGAGCTCTCGCTGGCCACGGCCGTCTAGAGAACCCCCTGGACTCAGGCCCCTGGGCTCTGGTCCTTCCCCTGAACCCTGCCGATTCCAGATATGCCCCTTGGGCACAGGCTGGCCTGCTCCCCGGTGAAGTCATAGAGTCCAGCAGACCAGGCCGGCACCATGGGACATTTATTTACAGCTGGGAAGTGCCAGGCCACCTGGGGCACGGTGTGGATGGGCCCTCATAGGGCTGCCAGCTCAGTGGCTGGAAACACTGGCCACCAGCCCGTGGGAGGGTGCCGGCACTGGTGCCGCTCCCACTGTAGCCCCGGGCTCCTCGCCAGGCCTGGGAGCCTGCGTCTGCAGGGTCATGGGGAGGGACATACTGCAAGAGGTCGAGGCATGTCTGGGGCCTGGGCAAGGGGTCCTGGGCGAGGTCACTGGGACACTCAGGGAGACTGGACCATGCGCTTGTGGGTGTCAAAGACATAACGCTTGAAAGACAGGCTGAGGGCCACGTGTTGTGCAGGCTCGGGCCGCTCGGCCACCTCCTCCTGCTTGGCTGCTTCCCCTCGGCCAGCTCGGCCCCGCTTCTTGAGGGTGGGCGTCAGGATCCTCTTGGACTCGGGGCCGAGGCCACCTGCAAGGCACAGGAGAGCCTGTTACTCCGTCCACTCACTGCCCTGCACGAACACCCACTCCCATTGACCCATCTCCAAATCTCCTCCCCGTAGCTCAGCAACACCCTCACACCCTCCTAGGCTGAGCCAGGACCCAGGTGCCACCCTGGGCTCACCCGCTTCTGCCCCCCTCACCCGAGGCCTATGGTCCACTTTTACATCCCGGCCCCTACCCCACTGTGCTAGATTGTGTCACAGGCCTGTCCAGCTTGGAGCTCAGCTCCCCATCTCTGTCTCCTGGGCCCCCGCCCACCATTCACTCTGCACTAAGGCTCCTATGGAGATCAGCCCCACACTTGGTGGCCCTGTCCCTCTCCTGCTGTTTCCCAGAACACTCATGCTAAAACATACACAGTGAAGCTTGACTTGGGGACTCCCTGGGGCTGGTGCTTCCCAATTGCCCCTGGAGACCCACTCTCTACTCCTCTGTATGCCGGGGAGGCTGACCTCTGCAGAGGGCATGTGGGCTCCTGTGCCCTCTGGCTTCTGGTTGGGTTCAGCCAATGAGAGCCCCAGTGGACAGATGGTGGGCAGAGAGAGCAGCTGGGATGTTGAGTCCTGCTCCCTAAGGCTGTCACTCCTGTTGGGGATCCTTCTCCCTGGGCTTTCACACATGCTGTCCCTCCAGCCCCAAGCAGGGTGGGAGCAGCCCCCACTGCTTTCCACCATGTCTCACTGGCACCTTTATTTTTATTTATTTATTTATTTATTTATTTATTTATTTATTTATTTATTTTTTCATTGGCACCTTTAAATGACAGCCTTCTGTCACTCCCTCCGCTAGGTACAGTATGCAGACTTCATATTCACCCTCTCCAGCCAAATGATTGAGTGGAAACCAGTTTCCTGTTGACACCCTAAGGCCAACCCCAACTCTTCCATTGCGTTTGTGCTGTCCCTGCAGCCTGGAGGAGCACGTGACCATTCTGGCTTCCCTGTTGTCACACATATGAGCCTCTGCATATGCTGTTCTCTCTGCCTGAACACCCTTCCCCACCTTGCCAGTGGAAGAAGTCCCGCTCATCCTGGAGGACCAGGCTGCAGTCCTTGAATATCAGGCTTTCTCTGGGGCTTATCTTTATGAGGAAACTGCTTGGTAGCAGCATGGTGCAGCCTCTTTGTAGGCTGCTGGCCAGGGTGAGTGCTCGGCTGCTTCAAACATAGTGGTGGAGGCTCTGCCTCCCTCAAGGCTGTGACCAGGCCTCAGACTAGCTCTGCACCCTGAAAGGCTGCTCACAACCCTGCTGGGGGAACCTGGTGGGAGCAAGCTGGCAGGCTATGGCGGGGGTGAGCTGAGGGGGCAGTGAGACTTGCATGGGGCAAGGAGGCCCAGTGGGCAGCAATAACTGCTGGGAGAGCTGGGAACATGGCATTCATTCCCTGACGAGGGGCAAGTAAGTGTGGAGATCCAATGATCTTGCCAAAAGAGGGACCTGGCAGGTCTGCATCCACCTACTTACTTCTATAATGCACAGAAGGACTGCACTGGACAGTGGACCTAGAAGCTGGGTGTCCAAAGTTGGTGGGAAGTTGGGGGGCAGGCACCAGGCAGGGGGCTTCCCTCCCAGCATGCCCTGCTACACCCCGGTCTACCAGCACCTCAGGGGCCTCCTCCTTTGCCCCAATATTGGCTGGGTGCTAGCAGCTGTCTCCTTGAGAAGAGAAGCCAGACATGACACTCTGGTGTCAAGCTTTGCTTGACATGCCTCAACCAGGTGGGGAGCTCTGGGTGGCAGGGGCATGTGGATTATTCTTCTCAGACCAAGCACTTGTGCGTGTTTGCTGAAGCAGCCCCTTCATCTTACAGTTGAGGAAAAGGAGCCCCAAAGAGGGCACGGACTCACTCCAGGCCCCACAGTGAGTCAGGAAGTGCGAGGTTTTGAACTCTGGACTTGCACCTGATGGCAAATGCAGGTTACTGCCCCCCAGCCCATCACCTGGCGGGGGCCCACCTTTGGTTGGCTCTGGAAAACGGTTCTGCGGGGGAACACAGACTGTGAGAGCATTCCGGGTGTTTAGAAGCGTGACCAGCTGGCTGCTTTAAGGGACACTGTAGAGTGTGCCAGGGATAGCTCTGCTTCCTGTTAAGAGAGACTCAGTCTCCCTGTCCACAGGTGGGGGTGAGACTGCTGGCCTCTCAAAAACCCAGGAAGGTTGGGACCTGCAGCTGATGCGACAGGGCTCTGGGATACCAGGGGCCTTCAGGACCTTTACCGAGGGGAATCGTCCTCTGCCCGGGCAGCACGGTGTCTGGTGGCAAGCTCCACACCCAGCTGGTCTGCGCACCTCCTGGGAGGGAGCGTGGGAATGGTCCTGGGCCAGGGCCCCAAGCTAGCTCGAGACCTGCAGGTATCTGCCTCCCTCAATCGGCACCCCGGCCTTCCTTCTACAAACAGAGAAGGTGGCTGGCACCAGACCCTGACAAATGGCATGGGCAGCCTGTCTCCCTCTGGTGCCAGGAGGTCTGATGGCTGCAGAGGCGCAGGGCTCCCCGGCGTCTGTGCTGGGCTGGGGAGACAGGCGTGGCCCAATCGGCGGTCCATCTCGCCCAGGCTGGCTCTCGTTACACACAGTGCATACCTCACAGGGCCCAAAGCAGGCAGAGTCAGAAAAATCTCTCTGGCATTGGTGAAGATGCGGCCATTTAATTGGTCTTCTGAGATGGTCAGGCTCATTTCCCTCTGCTCCATTTGGGGGTGGCCTGGACACAATGCCCAGAAAGCCTCCCCAATAGGTGAAGCTGTGGATTTGTGGCAAATGTCATTGGGAGCTGCTTTGTTAACAGTGGCCTTTCTCTCTTAGCCAGACAGCAGTTGGAGGGAAAGGAAGGGCAGTTCAGGATGCCGGTGGTCGGAGCTGTTGCCCACCCCAAGCTTCTCCCTACCTACCACTGCATCGTTCCCTGGAAAACATTCACACAACACTCCTGGACTGTAGACAATGGTGGTGAATATGCAGATCAGGGTCTGGCCTGCACGGACTTTACGAGTCTGAGAAGGGGCAGGGAGGAAACAAGCCAGCAAGATAATTCAGATAGCCACCAAGACGATCAAGGAAACAAAACTGCTGTGTCACCAGGAGGGGAGGGCAGCCAGGTCGCATGTGCCCAGGGCAGGCTTTTCTGATGAAGAGCTCCAAACGGGAGCCAGATGACAGGGAGATCCTGGGCAAGGGTCTGCAAGCAAAGGGAGTCTGAGTGCCAAGTCTTGGAATGTGCATCACGATGCTTGAGTGTCGATGAGGACATGTGGCCACATGCTAGTAGGGCTGCAGGGTGACTGCGGCTTACCATGTCCATATAATGCATTCTGTGTACCATGCTCTTTGAGTACCCAAACCAGAGAGGGTCCCAGAGACCTCTGGGGACTCAGAGTGGTGAGGGAGGCCGCCAAATGCCAACTATTCATCTGCCTGGGACCCACCAGGACTCCTGACACTTCCTGTAGGCCTCAGGGACATCATCCTGTGCTTGTGGAGCTACCACCCTCTCTTCAGGGCCTGTCTCTGAAGCACCCCCTGGTAGGCCACATGGGTTAGGTACCCATGTGTGGCCCCATCTGGGATGGCCCCCGACGTGGGGAGTGTGTTTGGAGCCCCTGGACTCTGGCTCCTGCATTGCTCTCCTCCTACCCGACCTGGCCTGTATTGCGTCTCTGAACCGTTCCCCTCACCCCAACACATCAGGTGCATTCCCACCTTGGTGCCTTGGCATTCACTGGTTCCTCTGCTGGAAGATCTGCCCCAGAAGTTCCGATGGCCCCCAGGTCCACCTCCTTCTAATCACTGTGCAAATGTCACCTCTTGGTGAGGCCTTCCTGATTACCTTCTCCCCTTCTGCCCTGACCCCTCCTACCCAGCTCTGTTTTTTTCCAATAGCTATGATTACCTCCCAACATAGCGCTATAAGTTCCTCTTTCTTCTGTCCTCTGCCCCTGCTAAAATACAGGTTCTACCACAGCAGGGATTTTGTCTTTCCGTGCACTGCTGGAAGCCCAGTACCTAGAGCGATCCCCGGCTCAGAGAGGGGCTCAAAGAATACCACCGAACGAATCAGCACTGGATGGGACCCTGCTGGACAAGCAGTGGCTACTAAGCTCCCTCAATGGCACCGTGTGGACCCAGCAGCCCCTTCCAGGGGTTCAGTTCTAACCAGGCACCTGAAGTTTGTCCACACAGATGTTGCCATGTACGCAGGCACTTAACCTTCACAGCACAGTGTGGAAGACACTGAGGCCCAGGCCAGTAACTGGCCCCAGGTCACACAGGTCTGGAGAGACAGAGTGGGACTTGTTGAGGTTCCAAGGTCTGCGTGCATCACGGAGAAGGTACATGGCCTATGAAGTTACAGGGGCACTGAGACCCCCAGGAGAGCAGTCAGGATAGGACTAGCGTGCATTTGCTGTGGCAAAATATTCTGGGAGATGAAATGACACCTGATAAGTGTTTATATAAAGACAAACTTACGAGTTAATTGAGAAAACACCCCACAGGAATACAAATTGTTGGAAGAGTCCTGCTCTAACTCTGGGATGCAGAAAGAAAAGACTTTCAGAAGACTATCTGCTAGGCTGTCAGGGATCAGGAATAAGTCACACGCAATGCTTTCTTCTTCCACCTACTTCTTTCTGTTTCCCAAGATTTCTACTGTGAACCTGGGCACTCACAGGTTGCATACCAGGGGCCACTGGCATGACCTCCTGCACCCAGGTCCGAGCCCAGAGGAAGCGCAGTGCCACCCAGTGCACTCTGGCTGCTGAATGCATGGGCACATGGGGAAGCAGGGGGAGGGTAAGAGGACTGCAGAGGGCTGGGCAGGGGAGGAAGAGGCAGGTGGGGAGGAGCTGTCCCCCTGGGCCACGTCTGTCCCCACGTCCTGGTTAGGGCTCTCAGAGTTGCTGTGGGCTAGGAAGCTCACTGGCTCTCTAGGCCAGTGGTGTCATCTCTGCAGTGATCTGGCTCT